CGCCAGCTAGTTATTCATTTATGTACAACATTAGTTGGCATCGGAACGGCGAAAGAAATCCACGCCAACTGAGTCTATTTATGGAAAGCACGGGTGCGGCGTAGCGGTGAGAGCGCTTACCTCTCACCTATATGACCCAAGTTCGATTGTCGAACTCGGTGTGTCATATGTGAGTAGAGTTTCTRGCTGGTKCTCTCCTGTGCTTCGGGGTTTTTTCTCCTGCCGGGTTCTCAGGTTTTCCTTTCTCCGCAAAATTCAAATTCTAAATTCCAATTCGAACATGAGACACGGAAAGCCACAAGTCTGTTAGAAAATGCCTATTAAGTAAGTGCTACCCTCGTAAAACAAGGAAAATTTATTTATTCTCAATATTTTTCAACACAACAAGCTATTATAATTCGAATTGTCTGGGTTTTTGGCTTCCGGTAATGACCTTTCCGCACGGTCTGAATTTGTAATTATTTCGATTAACAACACTGCTCATTGAAACCCAGACGTCTGAGGCTGAGTTTTGGTTGTGTAATTATGAAAATTAGTGTAAAAAGACGGCAGAAAAAAAAGATTTTTAAAAAAATGTTTAAGTTATAATGCTGTTTAAATGCAGAGCAGCAAAAAGTTTTTCTGTTACAATTGGTATTACTGCCCAGCCCTGTGTTCTGTAAACTTCTCTTGGTGGTTTTACGTATTTCAGCTAAACAATGCCTTTTCTAGCTTTCAAAATTTTGTACTGGTATGTCATTCATACGGTCATAGATCGACGTAACAGTATTTTTATTATTTCAAATTTCATTATTACTTTTCTTGTCTATTTTCAGAAATAATTATCGAAAATTATTATATTTTAGATTCAGCCAGATGGTTGGCTGGAACTTATGCTCTACTCAAGCCCAAAGCAGGTTGTCCTACTGGATGGGAAAAAGAAGGACGGATAGAGCAGTACACAGGACTTAACGATGATAACTCAAATGCCTTACACATACAAGGGGAAGTTTCTCAAGACAAAATTATAAGAAACTTTTGTATCAAAAAAATTCACGACAACACCATTTATCAATCTTGGCCAACAGGTTAGTAATACTTTTGAGGCTTTCGCGTACGGTGAAACTGATTTGACTGCTGAGGTTTTAATTTTACACAACACACGCATAATAAAACAAGATTTGATATTTCGGCTATTCAGTTGATAGCTTTCATCAGAATGATGATAAATGTGAAAAGGTAGCTGTGAAAACGCAGTGAAATCATATATATGGTTAGCCCTCCAAGTCTTGAAGAATATAGCTTGCGGTGTTTTTCACTGAAACATAAATGAATAATCTTTTCAAAAGGTCATTGAAAGAACTATATAGACGTAGTCCACTCTAGTACTTGCGTTACCGACAATTCTAATGCACAAAACTGATAAAATGAC